ATCAAGATGTCGACATCATTTAAGTGATAGACCGGTGCAAGATTACGTGTCACATTGCTGGGCTGTGCTTTCAGTAGATATCCACTGGATCGAATTTGATGCCTTCGTTGCCTGCCATCCTTTTTAGGAGCATCATCTGAATTCTTGGAGAATTCATGTGCACGGTACAAAATGAGGCCCCACCACTTACGCATGGCATCATTTCTGCTGATGCTGGTAACTGTAGCAGCAGGTAACATATCTCATATTACATTTGCATGGGTCGACGTCTACACCAATTACTCATGTAGGCACCCCCAGTGTAGTCAAGTAGACCACTGTGTGTGAAAATACTTGACGCATGTACTAGGGGGAAAGACTAATTACTTATTCTATTAAACTGGGTGTGAATAATATGCGATTAAAGGTGCTAGGGGCAAAGGACCAAAATAAGCAGTCTGCAGCCGAGGGCAGCAGAAGTAATTGGAACAAGATTTAATTCACAGCACACCTCATGCATATCTCAAAAGGACTAGAGACTTTCAATTTACGCAAAAGACGTACAACCATTCTCTCATGACACCCTATCTCCATAAGACAAGATAGGTTATGGAATACACAATCAAACCGATAACAAATAAAAATTACTAGGGTTAAGGCAAGCAAAGGACCTACATTGCATCCCACACATCATCATAATGTGGAAAAAAGAACATTCACACTTCCAACATTAGACAACTTTAGTTAGGCAGATTACTAAACATGGACTAGCCCCAGTTTAAATCGTTGGCAGAGAAAAGAACAATTCTTGGGACCTCAAACGGTTTGCCATTCCTTCATTTGACTTGTCATAGATCCAAGCAATAGACGTCCGCGCAATTGGTATTCAAGACGAGTCAAACAAAAGACAGGCAACAGAGCCGGGATCGTGTTACTGCATTCCTGCCGGCATCACATTTCCAAAATGACCTACATAAAACTGCCCTTGCCTCATAGGAGGTCAAATGAATATATCAGCAGTGACGACTGTTGTAAAACGAGTAATTCGGAGGCAACAGATGGCAGGTTGAAGCAAAGGCGACAGTTATTATTAATCTTAATAACAGAAATTCACCCAGGCCAGAACAATTAAAAGCAAATGAGTAGGTGTATTTAACATTTGCCGTAATCAGCACAAATTCATTTGATGGGCTCGGCTATCACAAGGCAATAAGGTCAAATTGCTCAGATAACACAACAGCGTTTAGGTAGAGCAAGAATAATTGTCACCAATTTCGAGGATGAAGTAAGCGAGACATCATATATTTTCTGCCATGATCCATACAACTAAGAGCCCATTCAACATGACTTTGTGTAAATATAGAAATAACGCAGAGGTTGTGGAGATTCTGTAAGGAAGGACTTACTAGCACTAACATTTTACCGACTGATAAGAAACGACTTCGAGATCCTCCAAAACCCCTAGAAGTATCATCACACATGGGGCAAACGTGTGAGCTATCAAGAACGAAGAGGACAATCGACCGCTGCAACCCTTGCACTGCCGACCAGAAACATCTTACACCTATGCAAAACTCCAAACTGGGGGCTACAAACTATCCGAAACTAAAAGAATACATGCCACACGTGTGAAATTAATTGTTTTCGAGGCGAAAGGTTGATGAGATGTGCCAACATCCCCTTTTGGATTCATGCTAAGTCAACATTTATTTGCCGAGGATGGAGAGTGTGTGGAGCCGAGTTTGACAATTTTTCGATGCAGCATTTTGCATAAATTCTCTAACCAAATTTCTGCGATTAAACACACTGATAACGGTGAGATTCTAAGGAGCTAAGAAAAAAATCCATGTAGCATTCACATACTTTATGCTGTTCAAGAAATAATCCAATCATTGTTGCCGCACAGAACGTTATGAAAGTTGGCCAACGGGTCAGATACAAATCACCA